CTATGATGCTGCTTGGCCTGCTGTGTTCATCCAGCTCTGCACCTTGTTGTCTAAAATACCACCCCACCCCAATTTGCTTCTCTCTGTTGTTTGCACACTGTGCCTTCCATCCTATTCTAGTTAAAATACCTAAATAGCTGGTCTGCAATTCTTCAATATCCTTTTCTTTGTACACCTGTGTATCCCTCTCCTTCTCCTTCTCCTTCTCCCTCTCCCCCTGCAATTTAGATTAAAACCCTCTTTACAGCCTTAGCTATTCAATTTGCTAAGACACTGGTCCCAGTATGATTCAAATGAACCTGTCCCCCAAGATCAGCTCCTTTCTACCCCAGTTCTGGTGCCGGTGCCCCACTAGCTGAAACCTATCCCACCCACACCAATCTTGGATCTACGCATTTAAATTCATTGACTTTATTTACACTCTGCCAGTGCCTGCTGCTCAGATAGCAATCCCAAGGTGATTACCTTGAAAGTTCTGCTTTTCAATTTAACTTCTAACTCTTCAAATTCTTTTAGTGGAACCTCCTTTCTAGTCCTCTCCACAGAGGCTGCCAGATCCAGGTTTTTCCCCAGTATTTTGTTTTTATAATTATTACTAATGGAAAGTGCAGATAAGGGTCACAGAGGAGGGAAACACAGACTTTTCAAAAGCCATGAGTCAATACATTAGTTGGAACAAATTGTTTGCCATGCAAATGAGAAATCCATTCAGTCCCTTATCCTGGAGCTGACCCAATCTGATCAGGGATAAATATTCTTGATCTGTTCACCTCACGAAAACGCTTCTCCAGTGTTACCCGAATATTGGTCTCAATGCTCGTCCGCTTCTTCCTTTTGCGGCCAAGACCCTCCAACCCAATCAGTTGTGTGGGGAGAGATGTCAGGCTGTTCAGTGTGGAATCAGAAGGAACGTTTTCTGCCAAAGGAAACAACCGTCCAAGTATGAATATTACAAACGTAAAGGTGGGAGAGAGCAGGAGAGCGCAAGAGTCGAAGGGAATGTGTAAATTCATCCACAGTTAGAAATAACCGAGTTGCTCACCAGGATGCTGACAACAGCTAGGTGACACAGGAGAAAGTAATAACTGCACTAAACCCAAATGACCCAGCAAAACAAAATCCCAGCCCTGAAGAGAATGGAGGGCAGGTCCCAATGTAAAAAGGGGCAAAGATCAGGAAAACATTAATAGGGAATTAAATGAAAGGACTAATGTTAAATAAGAATACAGGAATGTCATTTAGATCACAGAAGGAAAGACAGGCATGCATTCACGTAGCACTTTTCATGATCACCAGAAGTCTTATTTAAAGCCAATGAAGTACTTCTAGGATGTAGTCACTGTTGGCTGTTGTCACAACATGCGCATCGCAGGATTCCACAAACACAGGAGCATGCAATTGCGAGTGGTAAGTTTAAACGTTCCTCCCACCACCCCAAGGTAAAAACATTTCAATCAGGGCAGTTGACTTTGGAAGAATTTGCTGAAAACATTTCAGAAATACCAATGAGAGAGAATCAGGAAGGTTAACTCTAATGGCCGACTGTTACCTCCCAACCAGAGTTGGCATACCTGCGTCACTCAGCCATTTCTCCAACAGCGGCTTGAGTTTACACATGTTCTTGAAGCTCAGGTTCAAAGCCTCGAACCTAGAAATGGTCGTTTGACTGAAATCGTTTCCATAGAGTTTTCCCATTGCTAATCCCACATCACCCTGCAAAGAATCAAAGGATTTTAGCAACATACAGACCAATTGTAAATTTTTCCATGATGACATTGCCATTTCCCTCCCTTAAATGAGGGGAGTGGGTTTTGACAATGTTAACAATCTGAGCAGTGTAACACTGATAGACATTGACTGTAATTAAGTACAGAAGGAAGCTCCTATAGGCTACTGCCCAAATTTAAATTTGTGGGCAGCCGGATTTAACAGATTTCACACCACTACAAGTTTGCACTTGGGAAATTATTTTAACCTAGAATAGCAAGTAATTTACAACACAGGAGGCCATTCAGCCCACCAAACCCTTGCTAGCTCTCCACGAACAACTCGGTTAGCCCCACTCCCATACTTTTCTCCTGCAATATCTAACTCTTTACAACTACCCAATTCCTTTCTCAAGACCACAATTGATCCAACTCCACCACTCCCAGAGTGCATGCCCAATCCTAGCCATTTGTTGTATAAAAACATTTTGGTTCCTTTGCCATTCCTTTAAAACTGCTTTCTCTGGTTCTCCATCTTACCACTCAATTTCTCTTCAAGTGTGTTCACACCCCTCAGGATTTTGAGCACCCCTATCAAATTTCATATCCATTTTCTCCAAGGTCAACAATCCCAGCTTCACAGATTTATCCACATAATTTAAAGCTCTCATCACTAGAGCCACATTGTCTGATCTTTTCTGTACTCTCTCTAATTGCCTTCACATCCTTCCAAAGGAATTATGGTGCCCAGAATTAGATAATATTCGAGTTATGGCAGAGCCAGTATTTGATGACCATAACCACCTTGCTTTGGTACCCCCATGCCTCAATATAAAAATCCTATCACAACACACTGGGGGAGCATTCTGGAAATCAAGAGTTGACACAAATTTGGAAGTATTTAAATCAAACTATCCAAAGTCCCTAATGTAGTTGGCTGTCAAAGAAAACTCCCATCAGGTTTCTGTATTCAAGATTGTTCCTAGTCCCTCCTTGGTTAAAATACAGATTGCTTATGTATAACTCTATGATGCCACTCCTTTATATTAAACAAAATACCTGCACACATACAGTCAGATACGCAGAGACAAGACATGTCACAGGCAAGAAGGAACAAAAAAAAACCAAATCCTCAAAGACACAATTCTAGCACAAATCTTATTACAGATGTTGATGGAACGTTTACTTTTGATTCCGAGGAAGTCACAAGGTTGCACCAATTCTCAACCTTTCATTCATCAAGTGATGATTCACCAGTGTCTCTCAGGATGGGAAAGAAAACAAAGGAGAGTAGCTAGTTGTTCTGGGTTTTCTTTTACTTCTCTACACAGAAAAGGGAAATGTTTTAACTTCATATGTTTCTGTTGTATTATCCAAACCATGCTGTAGCCATTTACCAAAAGAACCAATCAAGTTGTTACTGTGTTTGAATACTTCTACACACACATCCCTTTGGTTTTACAAACAGGATCTGTGTCACTGAACACACGCACAGAGGAGAGGTCTCTAACATCTCTCCAAGTGAGTGTGATGGCATTGCAGACAGAACATAGAGTTCAGATAACTTCTTTCAAACTGTACATCTTCCTTGGATTAAAATCAGTATCTTTTTCCACTTCAAGTCTACGGTCCAGAAAATAAAATTGTGTACACCTTGTTAATTGCTTTCTCAACCTGCTTTACCACCTTCCTCTATCTGTGCACGTATATCCTCAGGACTCCTTGCACACCGTTTAACATATTATTCTTTATTTATAGGGTCCTCCCCGTGCTTTCAGTAGAAGTATATCATTTCAGACTTCTTGGCATTAAATTTCATTGGTCACATGACTGCCCATTTCACTAATATGTCAGGTGTCTCATTCATGGGATATGGGTATCACTGGCTGGGCCATCATTTATTGCTCTTGTAAGGAGCATGTCTTTTTAACAAACTGTGGACGGAAATTTTTTCAAAAAGTGGTGTTTTAAAACCAGTCATAGCAAGAACTACGGATGCTGGAGTGGGAAACAACACAGTGTGGAGCTGGAGGAACACAGCAGGCCAAGCAGCATCAGGGGAGCAGGAAAGTTGACGTTTCAGGTCAGGACCATAGAATCATACAGCACAGAAACAGATCCTTCGGTCCAACCAGTCCAACATAATCCCAAACTAAACTAGTCTCATCTGCCTGTTTCTGGCCCATATCCCTCCAAACTCTTCCTATTCATGTACCTATCCAAATGTCTTTTAAAAGTTGTAATTGTACCCACATCAATCACTTCCTCATGAAGTTCATTCCACACATGAACCATCCTCTGTGTAAGAAATTTGTCTCATGTCTTTTTTAAAATCTCTCTCCTCTCACCTTAAAAGTATGCCCCCTCGTCTTGAAATCCCCCATTCTAGGGGTAAGATAAATACCATTAACTCTATCTGTACCTCTCATTATTTTATAAACTTCTACCAGGTCACCTCTCAACCTCCTACACTCCAGTGAGAAAAGTCCCAGCCTTTGTTCATAATACAAACCTTTCATACCCAGCAACATCCTGGTAAATCTCTTCTGAATCCTCTCCAGCTTAATAATATCCTTCCTATAACTGGGCGACCTGAACTGGACACAGTATTCCAGAAGAGGCATCACCAATGTCCTGTACAACCTCAATGTGACGTCCCAACTCAAACTTTTAGGACCAGTAATCGGAGTTTGAGTAGCAGATGACTTGGAGCCAAAGGGGTGTTCAGATACAGCTTTTGCGGGCAACAAGAGGTTGATTGGTCTATGGGCTAGTGACAAGTATCAAAGACACAGACTACTTCACCTGCCAAGAATGGAGCAATTGGTTCCCAGGTAAGTGAACAGCTTGGGGCTGGAACGGGCAAGAGTGGGTGAGCAAGAGCGAAACAAATGCTATTAGCATGCATTTGCTGCGCATGGATCCTCACAGCAGCTGTATGTACACACACAGTTTAGACAGAATATTGGTCATGAGGACCACTTCAACCATAGAACCTGGGAACAAAGACAACTGGACTGTCTTTCCAGTTTGTCCTCCTCTGCCCATAACTCTCAAACAGCATGAAATAGTTTAAGAGGATTAGTGTTTTAATTAATAGAATTGCATACTAACAGTTATAACCATTTACTTGCAGCTGGAGCCTAATTACTTGTAATAAATAGTGATTTCTGTTGAGTACGAACTCCTGGTCCATGTTTTCTATCAATCTGAAAGTCGGTAAATTAGGAAATTATGTGTACTTTTTAAAATCTTTACTTTTAATGGCGACTTTGGATATAGCAAGGTTAGATTATAGTTAGATTTCCAGCATGGCACCCCAGTGACTCATAACCACCCATCCTAGCTGCCCTGGAGAACGTGGTGGTGACCTGCCTTCTTCAAACTGTTCAGTCCACAATGCAGTTCAGGAGGGAATTTCCAGGATTTTGACCCAGCAACAGTGACAGGAACAATGGTGATACATTTCCAAAGCAGGATGGTGTGTGGCTTGGAGGGGATCTTGCTGGTGGTGCTGTTCCCATGTATCTGTGTACTTCTAGATAGTAAATACCATTAACTCTATCTAGGAGTTCTGAGGAAGGGTCACCGGACCCGAAACGTTAACTCTGTTTTCTTTTCCACAGATGGTGCCAGACCTGCTGAGCTTTTCCAGCAACTTTGTTTTTGTACTTCTAGATAGTAGTGGTCTTGGGTTTGAAAGGGGCTAAGGGCGCTTGGTAAATTTCTGCAATGCATCTCATATTTAGTATATACTGCTACAACACAGTGCCAGTGGGAGCGGGAGTACCAATCAAGCAGACTGCTTTGCCCTGGATGGAGTCAAGCACCTTGTGTTGTTGGTGGAAAGCAGGTTTGTAGATAGGGGACAGGCTTGAGGGAAGTCAGGAGATCAGTTACTCACTCCAGGATTCCTAGCTCCTGACCTGCTTTAGTAACTACATTATTTAAATGGCTGTTCCAATTCAGTTTCTGGTCAGTTTTAGCCCCTGGATCTGGATGGAGGGAGGTTCAGCAATTGTAATACCATTAAATGTCGAGCAGTAATGGTTAGATTCTCTTTTGCTGGAGATAGTCATTGCCTTGCACTTGTGAGATACAAATGTTACTTGATACTCGTCAGCTCAAACCTGGATATTGTCTGGAGCTCATGCATTTGAACATGGACTGCTTCGGAATCTGAGGAGTTGCAAGTGTGCAATCATCAGTGAGCATCCCACTTCTAACCTTATGATGGAGGGAAGGTCATTAATGAAACAGGTGAAGATGGTTAAAGTTGGAACATATCCCAGTTAGAGAATAAATGGCAAGGGCTCTGGAACTTGGTTCTCTCCTGATTGGTCAGGCATGATCAGCAGGTTGACTGACCCTGACTGTGCCCAAGCATTCCTTAGAGTGCAGACATCTACCGAGACAGCAAAGCTCCACCATTCACCAAGTTTAAAAGGTTCCAGTTAATCAGATACAAGTAGAGCTCCTACAGTTCCCCAAACCCCTAAATGCCATCCTTTTACCTGTGTGAACCCCAGTTTAATCCGCCTTTGCTTGAATGTTTTTGCAAACTGCTCGAGCTCCTCCAAGTCGCTGGGTTCATCTGTCTGGACAGATGTAACATGCTTTGGGGCAATGTGTTTTGGAACCTGAAGTGGAGGAAGAGTTTCCAAATGTGGCTCCAAGGCTGAGCCCACTAGACTTGGCCGAATGGCTGCCTGCAAAACCAGAACAAGTTCAGTTCACCAATTCAGAAAGATTGCATGAGCAGAGTCATGCAGAGAAACTAAGTTGTGTTTTCTACAAGCACGGTTTTGACTATCTAGAATCTCAGTTTGTACAACAAATCAATAAATTTCTAATTGTCAAATATTTAATTATATTCAAACAGATTGATACCAAAACAGTCAAGTCTGGTATTACTCCCACCTACTATATTTGGGCATGGTCAGTGGGCACTGGCACCTTAACCTTCCAGACTATGCTGCAGGATCCCATAGTGCCAAGAGTCATGCAGCAGGTGGGAGGGTCACCACCAGTTGAGCTCTCAGGATTTAGGTCAAGTTGAAAACTGTCCCCTTCAACTCTGAGCAAAGCTGCTTTGGACTGAAACTGTTATAGAACAGTTTGTGTGGTTCACTGACCTGTGGCGTGATCCCCATACCAGGCTGGGGTGGCAGGAGACTGCTTTGTGATTGTGAGGTCAACGGCAACAGGTTTGGAGATTGCAGCGAACCTGGAAAAACATTTACAAATTACAAACTATAACAAGCATCTCTGAGACAAAAATCAATTAAACAAGTACATGAAAATCCACTGGAACATCTGTCTTGAATATCCTCAGGATCAGTGCCAGGATGGATGGGTCAGGGGAATTGAAATAATGAGGAAGGCATGGGACCCTTCTGTTCCAATTGCTCCTGGTGCTGCTGGAGCGCCCCAGATAGAAGAGGGGGCCAATAGGCAGCTTCCTACCATTCCTGCCTCATTCCCACGCAAATGAACTGAAAACTAAAAGTGTTAGAAAAGTCCTAGAGCAGGAATAGTTGTTCCCAAAAGTATACTAAATTGTCATCACCCCTCAGCAAGAACCGAGAGATTTGCAGGGGTAGGGAAGGGGGTGGGATTATTACGGGATTTGAGATTATTTTAAATAATGTGCAAGGCCTAATATTTTTACTGCTATAGGACCAGACCTTTTCGATGTTGCCATTTAAACCACACCCACAATTTGCAAAAAGGTGCAAATTTTTAAGCTGCCACACAGCTGGTCACTCAGTTGGAACTCAATGGCACATCCTCCTGCCTCAGAGCCCCACTATAGGGTCCACCACATTGCTTATGCACATCTATCCCATTCCCATCACGATGTGGGTCTAGAACAAAGACGTTTTACAGTCTGTTACTAGGAACAGCAGGAATGGACCTTACCTTGTTGGCTTTGTTGTGTTTGGGGGAGGAGGAATGTTGCTGCTGTTTGCAAGTGATGTCCAGGTACCACCACAAGTTGCTGCAGGGTGTGAAGTGGCTGCAGGTCCTGAACAGCATACGGCATGGTTAAACATCAGGCTAATGCCCCCAGTTTCCAATCAGCACTCTTTCCCCCCGCCACTGCATCTCACCAAACCCCCACCACACCCCCACCCCAATTCAAAACAACCTCAGGTCTATGTAGAAATCTGTAAGAAAGTCCACCAGTGATGAAAGGGCTCATCTTAAAGAAGGGAAATTTCCCACTGTGGAGATGTTAGGGATTCTAAAGCAATCCAAACGCTTTCTCCTGAAAAGCTTTGTACTCTGTAAACCCAGTATCTACAACTCATTGCCCATTAGAAACACTTAGCAGGGAAAAGTTACAAACAAGTCAGAAGAATTCAGATACTCGCAGCAAGAAAAAACCACAGGACAGACTGTCTGTACAAATGGATCGCAGTGACCTGTAGATATACTCACTGCTGACATCGGACTGCCTGACACCATGGAAGGAGCCTCACAGGAGCGAAGGTGACCTGCCTCTGCTGGTACCTGTGCAGGAGAATCACTCTGATCTTCAGTTTTGATCTAGAAAATGGAAGGTAGTTGCTGTTGGACCTCCCACAAAAGGTTTACACAAAATAGCTGCCTTGATCCAGGCCATGGAGCATAAGTACATTTACTTATTTCCCTTTTTCCACCATCCTCAAACACAAGTTTAGAAAATTTGATTTCCTTTTTGTGAAAGTATGTTGACTTTGCCTGATTGTATTATGATTTGCCAAATGTACTGTTACTACTTTCTAGAAACAGAGAAAAGTTACAGCACAGAAAAAAGGTCATTCAACCTGGTGTTTTAACAATAGATTACAGCATTTTCCCCAAATACAGATATTTAGCTAATATAGCTGTAGTTTGGTTCTTTGCATCCTCTTCCTTTCTCGAATAGAGATGTCATGTTTCCAGTTTATAGTTCTCCACTGTGCTGGGATCTTTCCAGCAGAGGAAATTTTGGCAGATTTACCACCGACACATTCGCTATCTCAGTAGCCTCTTCTTTTAAGTCCCTAGAATGCAGGCCATCAAGGTCAACGGGCTTAACAGCCTTTGATCCCATCAATATTTCTTGCACTTTCCACCCTCCCTCCCTCTCTACTGATGATAATTCCTCACATCCTTCGCCCCTGGATTTTCTATTGTTATTGAGATGCTTTTAGTATTTTTTAAACTGATGACAGATGCAAAACATCCTTTTCCTAGTACAACTCTCCCTGTTTCATCCTTTAAGGGACAAACATTTAGCTATTCTTTTCCATTTTATATTCATTAGAAACATTTGTCATTTTTCTTGCTAGTTTACTCTATATGCACTTTCTATATTTTTAGTTATTCTTCATTGGATTTTTAAAATATTCTCAATCTTCGGACTATTTGCAACCTTCACAAAATTGAAATTAAAATTTGACTATTATTTTTAACTTTAGTTAGCTGCAGAGGGTTCATCATTCTTATTTAAATCTCTCTCAATGGAGTACATCTTTTGAAAAACTAAACAAAACCAACTCCATAAATTTTGGCCTTGCTCATCAATCATCTTATTCTTAATCTATTCTCTACTCCTCTTAAAGTTTATGAAGAGGAAATTGACTTGAGGTAATTACAAAATTAAGATACTAATTTCAGAACCAATTTCTCAGCCTGAATCTGAACGCAACGAGTGTTAAATGTCAACTGGATGTAGTCACAGGTCCGGAAGCAAACTGGTTCAACTGGGTAAACTTGGGCCCTACCTTCTTTCTGTATGCAAATTACAGCTGCTCCAGGTGCTCATTTCCTGAGCTTAACCGCAGCCACTTGAGATCACTACAGCAAACCATTCACTGGTGATCTGAAAATAAAGGCAAACACTACCAAAATAGCTAAAAATCCAAACTACAGAGAGAGCCTCTCTTCAGGAGCAGAGGGGCTTCAGCTAACTAAACAGCTCAACATGTCACTTTGCTTCCAACTAGAATTACCTGGATTAACTGGTAACAGTACAAGGAGACTCTTATAGAATCTTTAGAAACCCCCATTCCTCCAAGGCACCAATTCTTTTTGGATGAATTTCTATGAAAACAAATAACCTGTTATACTGAGATAACAAGGTGTATACTGACTCCATAGGTATTGGCTCTTATTACCCCAAGCACAGTCATTGCAGAAGACTGAAGATTTCACTTACAATTTGCGCTGCCCCTATCAAACACTCCCACAGCTTGTACAGCCCAGTCAGATAGAGTAAAATAAATCTGAAACAAAAACAGAAATACCTGGGAGAAACACAGCAGCCCTGGCAGAGGGAGAAACAGTTAACATTGAGTTCATTGATCCTTCGTCCAAAAGTTCTACCAACGCTGCCAGACCTGCTGAGTTTCTCCAGAGAGAGTAAATCTCCCTCTATATTGTTCCAAATGTTGGAGAGTTGCTAAGCAGAATTTGGAAAGTTCAGCCATCCATGCCAATACGCCGAGTTAATAAAATAATAAACTTGATCTGAAACTTACACAACTTGATTAAATATCCCATTGTTTCCATCTTTTCTTTGTTAGTCAATGACTTTTTCCCCCTCATTTGGGTTAGAATAAAAAATAAATTTGTCAAAAGGTTGATTCATAACCTCACACTGCACATCCACTCACCTGCCGAGTGAAATCCAGGCCATTTTGTTCAATACCTGATAGAGAAACAAAGAAAGATATAAATACAGAGTACGAGCTGGAGCTCAAGCCTCTGACGTATGGGTAGAGAGAGTGCAAGGAGTTCTGCATCTGACAGCGCAGGACATACAGTTACTCTGTATTCACTCCATACACCTAGGAGTCAAAGGCAAGTATCCATTTAAACTCATGGAATTAGGATAATTACAGTTCATTAAACTGTTCAACTCACTGTGTCCATGCTGGCATACTTGAGGAGCTGTACTGCCACATCTCCATTCCCTCCAACATCCCTGTACCTTCCTCCTTGTCAGATATTTAGCCAAATTTGACCTCTATTCTTAACACCAAGCCAATCATTCAATATTCATACAAAACACTTGGTGCTATTAGCAAGGATGAGGCTGTGTGTGTGTGTGTGTGTGTGTGTGTGTGTGTGTGTTGGGGGGAGGGGATAAGTGATAGGTGGAGATAGAGCTCAAAGAGAAAAACAGTTGGACACACAAAGGAATGGATAACGCTCAGTCTGGGAGAATAAATGGCTGCTAATGGGGACTATTAGGAGCTGACAATGAGTGTGTGTGTAGCAGTCCATGTGATGATAAGGCCTGGTGCCTGGGTTAGGGATAAGGACATGGGACAAGGTGCCTCGAGCCCTAAAATTATTGAACTCCATGTTGAGTCCTGAAGGCTGCAGCAGTGTTCCAAAATGAGGTTCCGTTCTTCCAGCTTGTGCTGAACTTTGCTGGAGCACTACAGCAAACCTGAGACAGAGATGTTGGCCAGGGAATGTGATGGGGTGTGGAAGTGGCAGGCAACTGGAAGCTCAGCATCATTTTTGTGGACAGAACATAGGTGTTCTACAAAGCATTCACCCAGTCTGTGTTTCGTCTCTCAAATACAGAGAGACCACATTGTGAGTAGTGAATGCAGTAGGCTAGATTGTGGGAAGTGCAGGTAAAGAACTGTTTCACCTGGAAGATATGTTTGGGCCCGCGGATACTGGGAAGGAGGTAAACAGGTAGGTGTTACACCTTCAGCGGTTGCAGGGGAAGGTGTTGTTGAGGTGCGGGAGGGTGTTGCGAGTGAAGGAGGAGTGGACCAGGGTGTCCCGGAGGGAATGGCCCTTGTGGAAGGCAGACAAGGGAGGGGAGGGGAATATGTGTCTGGTGGTGGCATCCTGCTGGATGTGGCAGAAACAGTGGCTAATGATCCTCTGGATGTGGATGCTGGTGGGATGGTAGATAAAGACAAGGGGGACCCAATGCTGTTGTGGATGGGAAGGCAGGGTGTGAGGGTGGGAGTGCGGGAGATGGGTCGCACCCAGTTGAGGGCCCTGTTGATGATGGTGCTGGGGAATCCTCAGTTGAGGAAGAACGTGGACATTTTTAAGGCTCCCTTGTCAAAGTTGACATCATCAGGACAGATGTGGCAGAGGGGGAGGATTTGAGAGAATGGAATGGATTCTTTACAGGAAGCAGGGTGCAAGAGTGTATAGTCAAGGTAACTGTGAAAGTTGGTTGGTTTATAGTGGATAATGGTGGCCAATCTATCCCCAGAAATGAAAGACAGATGTCAAGAAAGGAAAGGGAGGAGTTAGAGATGAACCAGGTGAAGGTGAGAGCGGGATGGAACACTGAAGCAAAACAGTAAAATTCCAATTCTGGACAAGAGAGGGAAGCAGTACCGATGATTTCATCACTATACCGGAAAAAGATGTGGGTGGGATCCAGAGTAGGACCAGAACAAGGAATGTTCCACACAACCCACAAAGGTACAGCCATAACTGGGGCCTATGCAAGTACCCATAGCCACACCATTGACCTAAAGTGGCAGGAGTTAATAAAGAGAAGTTATTCAGACTGAGGATGAGTTTGGCCCAGGTGGTGAGCCTGGTGGGTGGTGGATAATTTCTGGATGATGTTTATTGTGTATTTGGGTGATTGCATGGAGTGTGGTAAATAAAGTGGCTATTGAGCTGCAGGGATGAATGTGGAAATATGTTTTTGTGTCAATAATAAAAGCCTGGCCCAAAGAGCAGGACTAGGTCCTAAATATTTCATGATACAAGGAGTTTAGGAAAGATAGGAAAGGAAATAAATGAGCATTAAGATAACTAAGGAATGCTGGAGATGATGATAAAAAATGACTTGGTTGGATCAAAGAAACAATGAAGCCGAAATCACATTCCTGGGTGTTTTCTGCAGACCATCAACTAGTAGGAGAGAGAAGAAAACAATTTTCTTTTTAAATTGCAGAAAGGCTCAAAAACAATAGAGTAGTTCTGATGATTTTATTAGATTTCCGGTCTGTTAGGATAATTAACACGAATGGAAGAGAGGGGAAGAATTTCTGAAAAAACAGAAAATGCTGGAGAAACTCAGCAGGTCTGACACCATCTACATTCGGAGAAGAGAGAGAGAGAGAGAGAGAGAGAGAAACAGGATTAGTTTTAAATCCTGTGATTCGTCTTCAAAATCCAAATTTCCAAACCGAGTTCAGGATAAATTTCTGGTTGAGTGTGGTTGAGTGTGTTTGAGTCTAATTAGGATGGAAGCATTCAGGTCGAACAATCAGAGGGGAACATTTAGATAGCGCTGTCAGTACAAGGTTTGGGTTAGATTTTGAAAAGGACAAGGAATAATCCAGAGTAACAGCAATTAATTAGAGAGGGGTCAGTTTCAGAGGGCGTAAACATATTTGGGCCAGATTAACTGGAATCAGCAATTGGCAAGCAAACTGAATAGATCAATGGACTGCTTTTGAATACATTCTTCAGACCCGGGGGGGGCAGGGGTGTTGGTGGTGGTGGATAGATGGGACAAAGTGTCACAATCCCCTGGGTGTATGAAAGGCACAGAATTAGTTGAAACTAAATAAGTGCACATTATAAGTGCAAGTGGGAGAGCATTTTGGTGATAGTGATCACAACTCCCTGACTTTTACTATAGTCATGGAGAGGGATAGGAGCAGATGGTATGGGAAAGTATTTAATTGGGGGAGGAGGAATTACAATGCTATTAGGCAAGAACTGCAGAGCATAAATTGGGATCAGATGTTCTCAGGGAAATGCACAATAGAAATGAGGAGGTTGTTTAGGGAGCACTTGCTACGAGTACTGGATAGGTTTGTCCCACTGAGGCAAGGAAGTGATGGTAAGGTGAAGGAACCTTGGATGACAAGACATGTGGAACATCTAGTCAAGAGGAAGAAGGAAGCTTACTTAAGGTTCAGGAAGCAAGGATCGGACAGGGCTCTAGAGGTCAACAAGGTAGCCAGGAAGGAACTGAAGAATGGACTTAGGAGAGCTAGAAGGGGGTATGAGAAAACCTTGCCGGGTAGGATCAAGGAAAACCCCAAAGCTTTCTATACTTATGTGAGGAGCAAGAGGATGGCCAGAGTGAGGATAGGGCCAATCAGGGACAGTGGAGGGAACTTGTGTGCGGAGTCAGAGGTAGCCGAGGTCCTTAATGAATACTTTGCTTCAGTATTCACCAGTGAGAGAGACGTTGACATTTGTGAGGACAGCACGAAACAGGCAGGTATGCTCGAACAGGTTGTTGTTAGGAAGAAGGATGTGCTAGAGATTTTGAAAAACATGAGGATAGATAAGTCCCCTGGGCCAGACGGGATATACTCAAGGTTATACGGGAAGCAAGGGAAGAGATTGCTGCCCCTTTGGCAATGATCTTTGCATCCTCACTGTCCACTGGAGTAGTGCCAGTAGATTGGAGGGTGGCAAATGTCATTCCCTTGCTCAAGAAAGGGAATAGGGATGATCCTGGAAATTACCGACCAGTCAGTCTTACTTCTGTGCTGGGCAAATTATTGGACAGGGTTCTGACAGATGGTATTAATGATTATTTGGAAAAGCACAGTTTGATTAGAAATAATCAGCATGGCTTTGTGAGGGGCAGGTCATGCCTCACAAGCCTTATTGAATTCTTTGAGGATGTGACAAAACACATCAAAGAAGATAGAACAGTGGATGTGGTGTATATGGATTTTAGCAAGGTATTCGATAAGGTTCCACATGGTAGGCTCATTCAGAAAGTAAGGAGGCATGGGTTTCAGGGAAATTTGGCTGTCTGGATACAAAACTGGCTGTCCAATAGAAGACAGAGGGTGGTAGTAGATGGAAAGTATTCAGCCTGGAGCTCGGTGACCAGTGGCGTTCCACAGGGATCTGTTCTGGAACCTCTGCTCTTTGTGATCTTTATAAATGACTTGGATGAGGAAGTGGAAGGGGGGGGTTAATAGGTTTGCCGATGACACAAAGGTTGGTGGAGTTGTGGAGGGCTGTTGTAGGTTGCAACGGGACATGGACAGGATGCAGAGCTGGGCAAAGAAGTGGCAGTTGGAATTCAACCCAGAAAAGTGTGAAGTGATTCATTTTGGAAGGTCGAATTTGAATGCAGAATACAGGGTTAATGGTAGGATTCTCGGCAGTGTGGAGGAACAGAGGGATCTTGGGGTCCACGTCCATGGATCCCTCAAAGTTGTGACCCAAGTTGATAGGGTTGTAAACAAGGCGTATGGTGTGTTGGCTTTCATTGGCAGGGGAATTGAGCCTAGAGGTAATGCTGCAGCTCTATAAAACTCTGGTTAGTCCACACTTGGAATACGGTATTCAGTTCTGGTCACCTCATTACAGGAAAGATGTGGAAGCTTTAGAGAGGGTGTAGAGGAGATTTACCAGGATGCTGCCTGGACTGGAGGGCAGGTCTTATGAGGAAAGGTTGAGGGAGCTCGGGCTTTTTTCATTGGAGAGAAGAAAGAGAAGAGGTGATTTGATAGAGGTTTACAAGATGACGAGAGGCATAGATAGAGTGGATAGTCAGAGACTTTTTCACGGGGCGGAAATGACTATTACGAGGGGGCATAATTTTAAAGTGATTGGAAGAAGGTATAGGGGAGATGTCAGAGGTAGGTTCTTCACACAGAGAGCGGTGGCTGTGTGGTAGTGGAGTCAGATACATTAGAGACTTTTAAACGACTCTTGGATAGGCACATGGAGGATAGTAAAATGTAGGGTATGCAGGGTAATAGGTTGGCACAACATCGTGGGCCGAAGGGCTTGTACTATGCTGTACTGTTCTATGTTCTATGACAGATGTCATACTGGTAAACAACACAAGATTTTGGCTGAATATAGAAAGTTCAGAGATAATGGGAATGAAAAAGTAATGAGGAACAAAGAGTAAGTACAAAGAGATTAGCAGCTAACAAAGAGGAAATATAAATATTCTCTTACAAATATCTAAATAGTATAAAGCAATAAGGTTATAATTAGGGCCCAATAAAGGGACTTGCCCATTGAGCCTGGAACATGGCTGAGTTCTTGATATCTATCTTAACCAAGAAATTAGGTCATCCAAGTTACAGTTAAAAATGAAGGATCTAAGAAACTGGATAAAACTGACCTGTAAGAAAAGCAGCTGGCTGTGTAATGTGCCCAACGAAACCCCCTCAAAACCTTAAGATAACCTAGACCCTAACCTTTTCTAATTTTAAAGGCAAGTGCCAGGCATTGCATTCTGGGTGCAATTCAATTGGTCAAACTACCAGTCTTGAAGCAAAACACATTTTATTCATATACATTAAAAAGACAAGAGAAATAAGAAATGGGAAGAACTTAACTCTATTAGAAATTCTCTTTTCTAAAAACTGAATTATAGATTATCTGACATGCAATTCTAGCAGCAGGAAGAGTGCCCCAGTTTTTAGCTGTAACAGAGAGGAATAACAGCTTCTACACGCAGCTTCAAGACCCCAGATATTGCTACTATTGAAAAACAAACTAATTATACTGGTTCAGAGATAGTAGGAACTGCAGATGCTGTAGAATCTGAGATAACAAGGTGTAGAGCTGGATGAACACAGCAGGCCAAGCAGCATCGGAGGAGCAGGAAGGCTGACATTGCGGGCCTAGACCCTTCTTCAGTTGACCCCACCAATTCATGCTGCTTCTATTGTTCCAACTTTAAAAACAACCCCAAGGCCTCACAAGCTGTTTATTGGCTTTGGAGCAGTCAGCTCATCACCTCTGTCTCAATCTATCTTCACAAAAAACAAAACTAGGACAAAGTATACCTCCTAAAGCCATTGTATCATCAAAGCTGTACAAAAGTTGTTAAGTCATCAGAACAAGATCAGATGCAATCCAGGACACTGAAAAGCAAGAGTAAAAGGAAAATCACAGAGACAGACCATATTTTCCAACCCTCATCAGAGAACTGGGAACTGAAAGTTACACTTGTTCAGAAAAGGGTACGGGGTAAAAAACCATCAATTATAGGCCAGTGAGTTCAAGAGAAAGTTACGAAAGTTATTATTTTAGGAGAATTTTTTTAAAATTTAACAGTCTCTTAGACAAACATGAATCAGTGGAGGGAAGACAGAATGGATTTAAGGTCAATTATACTTAAGCAATTGTGTCTTTTTTGGATGAGTTGAGAGGATTGCTGAGGGAAATATGCTTAATGCACTTCCAAAATATATTTGATACTTTGCCACATCTGACGTGGCAGCAAAGAAATGTCAAGCAATAAAAGGGATAGTGGCAGAACACACACAAAACTGGCAGGCAGGAAACAATAGTGACCAATAGAGTATGGAGCTCCACACTGTGTTGTCTCTAACTCCAGCATCTGCAATTCTTGCTATCTCCAATAGTGCCCAATAATTGTTTTTCAGACACAAGAAAGGTATGTAGTGGGAGATCACAGGGATCAGTATTAGGACGACTGTTGTTCTTGATCTATCCACTGACCCTATCGCTTAGAGTTTCCACAATAACACGATCAGCAGAACGGCCTCCTCCTGTGCTGTAACCAATGATTTTATTCAGCCCTCTTCTCCAGCTATCATTCAGGAAACTGCACCATGAGCCAGTTTCAGCTATTCAGCTGCAAAAGGCACAAGAGCTGAGCCAGGTCTTTTGATATCCACATCTCAATAATAGTTCCCACAAATCTACTCCAGCTTCTGAACCCACCAGCACAATGTTGAGGGCTAGGCTGAGGTTCTTTCTACTTTCTTGTTCAAATAATTTGAGTCAGACTTTTCATTCAATTTTGGCTAATGTAACATTTTTCAGTTGAGCATTTTACACTCTAGGTGCTTCAATCCCAATACATGTGAACATTTAGTAAACATGGCAGAAACTATTTACATCCCAATATAAGCTACTGATAACACAGTGTGGAGCTGGAGGAACACAGCAGGCCAGGCAGCATCAAAGGAGCAGGAAAGTTGATGTTTCGGTTCAGGACCTTTCTGAAGACATCAACTTTCCTGCTCCTCTGATGCTGCCTGGCCTGTATTCCTCCAGCTCCACAGTGAATTGTCTCAGACTCCAGCATCTGCAGTTCTTGCTATCTCATAAGCTATTGAGTTGGGTGGGGTGGGGGCGCTGGGGATAATGGGGGAAGTTGTGAGTTTCTTTAAGTTAATGGGCCCTAGGGATATCATGGCAGAAAGACCTTAGAGAGTGGTCTTTTCCCACTGTCCCTTGGCATCAGCTGCTGCAAGGTTTAGTGCGTCCCTCAGCATGTAGTCCTGAGCCTTGGAATGTACCAGTCTGCAACACTCAGTCAAGGTCAACTCCTTGCTCTGGAAGACCCACAAGTTTCAGACAGACCAAACAGCTTCTTTCATTGAGTTGATGGTGCTCCAGGGACAGTCAAAGTTTGTCTCCGTGTGTCTCCCGGGGAACAGCCCGTAGAGCACAGAGTCCTACGTCACGGAGCTGCTCGGGACAAACCCTAACAAAAACCATTGCATCTTTCTCTAGACTTCCTTTGCAAAAGCATATTCCAGCAGGAGATGTGCAACAGTCTCAACACCACCCACCCCACCACGCTCCCACTCCTGCCTCCGAGAGAGTGTGCAGTGGCACACACCAAATGGACGTAAATATAGGGTCTTACAGGTAGTGCCCTTCTCACCACCCACCAAGTGATGTCTTGGTGTCTGTTGGAAAGTTGTGGTGATGAGGCATTTTGCTGAATGACTTTGACAGTCTGCTAAGGGAACGACATGACAGGATCCACCCATCTTCTTCTCCCCTCAGGGTCTCAAGGACGCTATGTGCTGATCACTGCCTGATGAATGTGCTCAAAGGTGTTTTTCTTTGCAAATTTCTCCACAAAGGACGGGTGATACAGAACAGTCCGACATCTTGGAGCGTTCCACGGCAATGAGGCCAGTCCCATCCTTCACGACACGGGGACGGGTAGAACCTCAATAAGTAGTGACACTTGATGTTTGTGTACTGAGGCTGTATGCACAGCTTGATACGGCCAAACACATTTGGGGCCATCAGGATGAGGGTGGCATTGGATATGTTCTTACTCCCTTTATCCAGAGTTTTGTACAGTGTTCTTGTGGACAGTCCAGCTTAGATGTCCAGATGAAGTGGAAGATGGCACAGGTTCAGGGAATGGGCCAGACCCGCACCACGTACTACTATTAGAGAGAGTGCCTCACACCCAGGTTTTTACCTGCAATGGAGAAGGAGCACTGCTCCTAAAAACCCAGTTTCTGCTTCACTTTGGCGATGCACTCCTCCCAAGATGTTGTGCACCCTCTGGCCCCCCTGAACCATACTCCCAGCACCTTCAGGTAGTCTGTCCTGACGGTGAAGAGAATGAAGGATAGGTCGGCCCAGCTCCTAAAGAACATGGCCTCGCTCTTGCTTCAATTTACCTTGTCCCCACCCCCGAGGCCAGTTTGAACTAGTGACAGATGCTCCTGAGTCTGTGCACTAACAGCCGACTCAAGCAGAAAAATGGCAACATCATCCACGTACGGGGAGGCTTTGACCTTCAGGCCTCCGCTGCCTGGAACAATCACCCCCACCCCTCTTGGGTTCCAAACTTCCTGATGGACTCAGCAAAGGGCTCAATGCAGCACAGTAACAAGGCAGGAGAGACTGAGCAGCCCGGCCTGACTCTGGATCGGATTGGGAAGCTTTCTGAGTCCCACTCATTGATTAAGACTACGTTGGTGTAGAGCAGTTGGATCCAATTGCAGGTTCCCTCCGCAAAGCCCATTTTGAAGAGCATGTCCCACACGTAGGTGTGTGATATCCTGTCAAAGGCCTTCTCCTGGTCCAGGCTGATGAGGCAGGCATCCACCCCCCCGTCCCACACGTAGGCGATTGTATCCCTGAGGAGTGTGAGGCTCTCAGAGATCATCCTGCCCGGTGTGGCACAGGATTGGTCGGGGTAAATCACTGATCCCAGGGCAGACCTGACCTGGTTGGCAATGACCTTAGACAGCATTTTGTAGTCTGCATTCAGCAATGATATTAGTCACTAATTTCTAATTTCCTCCCTCCCACCTTCCGCTTGTAGATGAGGGTGATGATACCTTTCCTCATGGATTTGCTCATGGTACCTGCCAGAAGAATGTTGTCATATACCTCCAGCAGGTCCTGGCCAATCACGTCCCACTGAGCCGAGTACAACCCGGCTGGTAAGGTATCACTTCCGGGAGTTTTATTCCTTCCTAAAGGACTCAAGGGTTTTAGCCAGCTCATTCCGAGATGACAGCATAATGTCGTCTAAGACCTCTGTGATAGAGAGTAAGAACAACTGGAAGGCTGCACTGTTTGTGGGCACCGTGTCATACAGACTGGCATAAAAGGATTTGCTGATCCTCAGGATGTCAGTCTGAGATGATGTTACTGAGCCATTTTCTTCCTTCAGGCTGCTGAGCACAGAGCTCTCCCTGTGCACCTTCTGGAAGAAGAAATGTGAGCACGTCTCATCCTGCTCCACAGAGCAGATCCTGGACCGGAAGGTTATCTTAGAGGCCTCTGGAGGAAAACAGAGAGGCTTGCTGGCTTTTCACCTTCTGGAGATCCTCCATGACAGCAACCCCCAACATCTGCAGGAGTAGGTCTTGTATGCTTTTCTGGAGTTTGGACAGTTTTCCCCATCTCTCTCACATGATGAACAACTTTAAAGGTTAAAAAAAAATGTTTTGATGTTATTGGAAAGTTTTGGTGATGAGGCATTCTGCCTAAATGACTTTGACAGTGTGCACAGGGAGCCATGCGACAGGATTGGCCCTCTCCTTTTCCCTCAGGGTCTTGTGGATATTACGTGCTGACCACTTCCTGGTGGACTTGTGGTCAAATGTGTTTTTCTTTGTGGAGAAATGTGCAAAGGACGGGTGATATGGAATAGTCTAACTACTTGGAGCATTTCACGGCACTGAGGCCAGTCCCATCCTTCGCGACACAGGGACAAGTAGAACCTCAGCATGTAGTGACACTTGATGTTTGTGTACTGAGGGATGATAGCACTTTGGTCACATCCTTCCCCCATTTATCCAGAGCTTTGTATAGTGTCCCTGTGGACACAGTGAAGTGAAAGATGGCTCAGATGATGCAGGTTGGGGAATGGGCCAGACTTGCACCTTGTATAACAGACAGTGCCTCACTCCTGATGGCCAGGCTTTTACCCACAATAGAGGGGGAGGAGCGCTCCCAACAAGCCAGTTTCTGCCTCACTTTGGCAATACACTCCTCCCAAAGTTCTGTGCAGAACATTCCCAGGACCTTCAGGTAATCTGTCCTGATGGTGCAGGGGATAAAGGGTTATTTGTTTCCAAATAACATGCTACAGGAGGTCTCCACCCACCATCCAAACCCATCCTTCACAATTCCAGGGTCAAGGAAAACCCCAGCCTCTGGCAACACTTGCTGTGTGTCAGCGCACATCAGGGTGATGGTGACTATCCTGTACAATGTCATTGTTGACCATCTGTGAAGATGAAGATGGCTCGGATGAGCTCAGTTTCTGTTTATTTTTTTCAGAAATATTCTTTATTCAAAAATTTTTCTTATATACATAGTCATTAGAGCAGTTTGATTCTGTACACAGTCTTTACATCTGTAGAACAAACAAACTTAGTGTTCCCACGTTGACCTTAGTGGGATGGAGATGTGGTCCCTAAGCCCTACTTCTGTTCTAGGCCCGATCCCAATGCCTCTGCATTCATTCCACAGCCAAATAACCCACTGACCGAAAAAGAGACAGTTATCAGACGTGAAGGGCTGAAAGGAGACAAACCCAAACCGTTTGCACAAGACGGAATTCTCCAGAAAGGCAGCAGCTGGAACTGGTTGCCTGATTTGAATTTCAAATGAGCTCCCCTTTGCTCGGATATGGCCACACCGCCTCCAGCTCCACTATGGAAATCAGCTCCAACATGCAAATCAGGCCGGAGGCCACTCCGCCCCTCCACCAGGGAGGGTTCGGGACAGAAGGGAGACTCGGAGCAAGTAAGACCCGCGGGGAAGAACAGTGACCGCAAGGTATGGGGCATTTGTGAACAGGACCCTTTTCAAAAATGACGATTAAAAACTATTTGGGTGAGTTGCTGACTCGAGTGCTCCTGAGCCAGAGACAGAGAAGTTAACAAAGTAAGGAGCCGTGCTAATTTCACAGCACTGAATAAACATGCAAATGAGGAACTGTTCAGTAAAAACAATATGTTTAGGATCCGGTTATTGAGCCTTTCCCTGAAGACAGCTTCAAACTAAAACAACGCCTCATTCTCAAATTCTATACTGGAACCCCAGATCCGCCCACCGGGAACATGAGGCCATTCGGCCCGCCAGGATTGCTCGCTCGCTTGCTTTTCAATTAGATCATGGCTAATCAACTCCACACTATTTCCATATCCCTTAGTCTCCAGAAACCTATCGATTGTGTTGAACATTCTCAATGACTGAGCTTCCAAAGCTTTCTGTCGTACAGAATTCCACAATTTCACCATCCTCTGAGAAGAAATTCTTCCCCATCTCACTCTTAAGTGATCTACTCCTTGTCCTGAGACTATGTCCCCTGGTTTTAGACTCACCAGCCAGGGGAAAATCTCTAATCTACACCTACTGGATCAAGCTCTTTAACAATTCTGCAAGTTTCAATGACATCACCCCTCATTGTTTGAAAGTTGAGGATACAACTGCAGTTCCTTCTTGTTAAACAATTCCGCCATCCCAAGGTTTTTAAACCGTTCCCAATGCCTCTGCATTCATTTCACAGCAGTTTCCTTCCACAGCCAAATAACCCACTGATCAAAGAAGAGATAGTGATTGGGCATGAGGGGCTGAAAGGACACAACCCCAAACTCTTTGCACAAGATGGAATTCTTGGGATATCTCATTCACATTTTCTATGGTAATTAAAACTTTCCTTTGTTAAGTCCAGGTCATACAGCCTTTTTCCATGCTGTAGACTTCTTTGGTCCATCAAGTCTGTGCCAGTCAAAAGTTGCCATTTAACTATTCTCATCTTACTTCCCAACATTTGGGCCAAAGCCTTGTACACCTTGGCATCACAAAGGGACCAGAATTGTACAGAATACTCCAGGTGAGGTCTCACCAAGGCCCTATACAACCTCATTCTTGCACTTAAATACCTTGTAAATGAAGGCAGCATAACATTTAGCTTGCTAATTCCCTACTGCACCTGAATGCTAACTTTTAGTGACTTGTGGACAGACACCCACATTTCCCAACCACGCACAATTTAAGAAATATTCTGCCTGTTTCCTTTATACGAAAAGGTGAATAACTTCACAGCATTCCAGCTGGCATGTTCAACTCACCTGTCAAAGTCTTCCAATTCTCCTCACACCCTCATCCTGACTTATGTTCCCACCCAATTTGGTCCCTACAGCTAAAACATTTACGTGGATTGTGAAGAGTTGTGGACCTCACATGGATCCATAGAATACCCCATTGTTAAAACCAAAAATGATCTGTTTATTCCTGCTGTTTTCTGTCTATTACCAATTCTTAATCCATGCTATATTTCCACAATCCCATGAGCTTTAATTCTGCTTAAGTTCCAACATAGAGCCTTATCAAAGGCCTGAGAAATCCAGATACATCATTCATTTTATCAATGTTGCAAGTAATATATGCAAAATAACCCAACAAATTTGTCAGACTTGATTGCCCTTTCATAAATCCATATTAACTCTGCCAAAATATACTTTTATGAATGTCCAGTTATCACAATAGAATCTAACATTTTCCCGAAAAGTAAATTAAAATGAACAGCTCTATAGTCCTTGCAGGAGGCTTGGGTTCAAATCCCACCTGCTCCAGAGGTGTATTCTCACATCTATAGTTCTTCACTTCACAGTCTAGCTCTGGCAACCCATCTCCTTTGTAAATAGTGGTGTTATATTCACCACTTTGCAGTACTCAAACATTTCCAGAACCTTTGGATTTTGAAAGATTCCCACCACATCCACCATTTGTGTCTATCTGGCTTCTTCAACGTACTGGAATGAAGCTCATCTGATCCAGGTCATTTATCAAACTTCAATCCAGTTTCCTTTTCAAGTATTACCTCATTATTACAATAAAACTTTTATTTACACAAGAACTAGAACACGAGAACCAGCAGAAGTAGACAAGTAGAACCTGCTCCATCATTTAATTTCCTCAGTTTCATAAGTCCCTTGATCACCTAGTATTTCTGGCAGATTTTCCTGCAACTCCTATGCTGACAAAACCAAACAAACTTCTGTCATTTTCCTATTCTTCACTAAATATTCTTCTGCGTCTACCTGTAATGGGCCTCATTTCCCTTCCACAATCTGTATGAGGACCAGGGCACTGATAAAGAAAATCATCCTAACAGAACTTTATCATAAAACCAATATACTGGACCTACTAACACTAGCATGTCCCTGGCAGTTTCAAGAAGGGCATTAGGGCCCATGATACAGCTTCAGCTCATCTAAGGTTAAGGAAAGCACCTGATCATCTATTGCCTCCATTAGTGAACAAATCAATGGCTGCTCAGAAGTGAGGTGGAGGTTCTGAAGTAGTAAGGGTTAGCCAATTTGTTGCCAATACATCAGCCTTCCATATCATTGCTAGTAATCAAACTATTCATAAAGGTTTGAAACAAAAACAGTAATTTCTGAAAGAGCTCAGCAGATCTGGCAGCATCTGTGGAGAGAAATCAGAGTTAATGTTTCAGGTCAAGTGACCCTTCCTCAGAGCTATTCATAAGGACTGTTATGGCACAGTGGTAGTTTCCCTATCTCTGAACCAGCAGACCTGGGTTCAAGTTCCACCTGTTCAGAGAAGTCATTATACACCTTTGGAACAAGTTGATTAGAAAATAAGTAATAAGAAAGTCTGATCTTCACATTGAGTACAGTAAATAAGATGGATATATTCAACAAATATCAACCCAAAACTGGGCATTCATGTAAGACAATAATGCCAGTAGATTAACTACCTGGACTGGATCAGTCATGTTTTTTATTCAGATCCTAGCATCTGCAGTAATTTTCTTTGCCATAACAATAAGAGACTTATCTTCAGTGTTAGTGTAATTTTAGTTTCCACAGAAGTCATTTTGAAGATGTAAAGTGACCATGCTTGCAAATCCAAAACGAGACCATAGCAATGAGTCATAAACTATCAAATGCGTTCTCAAGCAGATTCTCGACAGTTAACAATTTTGCATTAATTGGAGTCTGTCAGTGACTGTTGCCCCA